AGAACGTGCCACAAATCTCCACGTTTTTATCAGGTTTAATATGAGTGGTTATCAGCTAACAATTCAATAGGCCAGGGTCCCCTTCATCGTTACTATCGTGAAAAGTAAATACAAGATTATGTCAAGGGGATTCTCTAACGTAACTTATAAATAAAAACATTGAGATTGCTCTCCATTGAGTCAGGTCATTACAACACACTAGTCCTTGAAATAGGTAACAATTACATTTATCTATTATTAAAGTCCTTTGTAGCAGGTGACGAGCCTATTACAGTACAATAAACTATCTACTTGGTCATATCAGTAAGTACAGGCTAAACAAAATTGTTAAATCTACGAATTTTAGAAACAGAATCAATCGGTTGGTGATTGATTCTGTTCAATTTTCATATCATTCAGAGAAAAACTCAAATGTAAGGAAATTATATGAACCTCTTTTTCACACAGTTGGGTAATAAATATAATCTCTCTTTAATTAGATAGACAACAGGAACTTCTTACGACTATTATCTACGCATTTTTAATTAGCGCAGGATTGTTAATACACAGTACAGAGATGTTTATCGTCTTTTGCGGTGAATTATAAAAAAACGTTTATAGATGCTATCTGAAAGATTAGTTATAATTGTTTAAAAGTGAACGTATTGGGTATTAGAATGAATTGGGTATTTGATAACTAGTCAAATTCAATACTTTTTCGAATTGTCAAAAACGATAGTTTTCTATGAATTTTGTACGAGATTGTGTATTGTGACGTTACGATTTTTTTGCATCAAACAACGTACTTGTTTCTGAAAAATTTTATTGTATTGAACAGTCGAAATAATTTATTTTTGATTAAGGAAAGTATCCAATTGTCGTTAGAACTTATCCAATTCATTATACAGTTAAAAGATATTCTTTTTTCTACATAGGAAAAACTGGAACAGAATAAAGTATGTTAGTGTTGTGGGGACTCATGGGCGATGCTCATCCAGGCGGGAGAAGTCATTCGATAATTTCCCCCTTAAAAAAATCGGCGATGCTGATAATTACCATCAGGTGATTTGAAGCGACCTGCCTTCTCATTTGCTCTCTATTCCAAAAAAAAAAAAGATCTACAATACGACTGATATCATACTTTGTATTACTTACAGAATTTCCATAAAGTAACGTATTGTTATTATCTCAACTATATCAGTGATGATAAGAGATAATCCCACATATTGGAAGACCGGTTATGAGGTTATGATGAAATCAGTTATTGAATTTCACTTACCGACAGACTGGATTAATTTATTATGTTTGTTCCGAAACAAAGGTCGGATATAACTTATTTAAAATTATTATTAAATATGTAAATGTTCTTGAGAAGGTTCCGTAGAGGAATAAATAGACCGATAGAACGTAACGTCACAATTTTTAAATCACCTAAGGGGTCGAAGTCTTAAGTAATAGATAGAGGGAATGAACCTGTTGCCATACCTACTGACTTCAATTTCATATACCGTTATATTACTTACTGCGATTTAAAAAAAAAACCGACAAATATACCAGTAACTGATTTTCTCGAAAAGTCTTTTGCTTGACGTTTCGCAGAACGTGATCGTGAGACAGGCAGACGTGATTCTATAAATCCAGTAGATTCCTAAGACCACCTAAAACTACCCATTCTCTTGAAAAATCGATTCATAGAAATGTAGTAAATTGCTACAGCTGTTTGGTTCCAAATTGGAAAGACGAAGCTTAAGAACGAGTTATTGGTAACTTAAAGAAAATGGAGGAGATTTATCCAAGCTTTGTTACAATTCCGAATTTTCTTCATGACGCTTCCATTCTTTCCATTCTACACTTAATGGCATAACATAGGTACCTGAGTCTTTTCGCATTTCATGTACTTGTTCGAGAAGGTAACTGAAACCCAAACAAGTATTTCTGGAAATAAGAATTATGCTGTATTCTGATTTTATAAACACATTTTAAGAATTTCACTATCACCTAGATTTTGTAATTCTAATAAGTTATATTTAGGCATATCATTTAAACTACGAAGGTTGTAGTAAAACTTTACTTCAGAGAGCCTACAATTTGCTATCCCTCATTACATAGTACCTACAAAATTTTAGTTTAAAATTTATACAGCATGATTTAAATTTCAACAAAATTTGTGAGAAATTTTAACAAACAAATTATTATAAAACATTGCGTAACTTTGTAGTAGCTCCATAATAGTTCAGTTAAGAAAAAACACTAATAGGCACATTATATTAATGCACGACAAAGAAAAAGAATTAGACGTTGTTTCGTTCATAATGGAATCCAAACGAACTGAGTCATCTGTTAATAAAACTCATCAGACAGCTGGAGTTTAGTCTAGATAGATAGAATTCTAGATCTTATTAATGTCTAGACAAAAAAAAACGCCGAGAAATGCAGACCATGTAGGTATGTTTAATAAACTTTTGATATACGGGCGAATATTCACTGTTTTTGTTCTCTGAAGAGCTTATTTTATGAAGAGGTAGACTTATAGTGTACCTACTGGTTCGATTCTGGATAAGTCTGGTTGATTGGTCTCGTAGTACCCAATGGTTTATTAATAAAGGATTAGAATACTGACAATAATTCGGCACCATAACTTGACCGCATGAAATTGCTTGAAATAGAAGGCCCTAATTTTTCGTCCAATTGGTGATATCCAGATAGGTCACCAGGCAACTTCTTATAATTGTATTTTTAACCGACTTCTTAAAAAACAGTTTAGTGTAGACAACAGCTGTATTGCTTTAAATTTCCACTTTCATGTAAATTGGATTCGGAAAAAGTGGTACAGAGCGGAATCGTAGTCATTTCTTTCGAACGTACTGTAACAGCGGTGATGTCACAATTCACGTCTGGTATGGTGTTAAAGTAAAATAAAATTCCAAACTAAAGATGATCTTTGAACGTACCTATGTACGTATATTCAGGAAGGTATTGAATATTATGAAATTGGTTTATCGGATATCCGATTTTATCTATTGGATTCTTTTCAGTTACGGATCATTGATTTTAGTTATCATTTTGGTGGTGTAATCAGATATATCTAAGGATTGACGCACATGGTTCACGTTTTGATTCAGGCAGGCTGCAAACCTGTTGTAACATGTCCCATTTTGACTTTGAAGATATTCGTATTAGTCGTATTCATCATTCGCCGAGATGTCTTGTTTAACTCGTCGAGTACCGTCATTATAGACACAATTGTAGAACAATAGGTTGCGGTCACCGGTGACTGCTTGGTGTTTGACAGTTTAAAAAAAAACATGCTAAAATATCATTGATTTTCATACAGTATCAAAATAAAATGCACCTAAAAAGCTAACTAGATTTATAAAGATAGATTTATCAGACGTAAATACAATCTAAAATAAGCCATCTTGTCCTGTCGCAAAAGCCTATGTAAATAAATAGAGTAAATTATTCAATTACTTAATCAATAGAGGTGTGCCGGTTGTTAAAAAAACGAGCTGGAAGGCACGTGGATTCATTGTCATGACTAACTTTCATTAGCTAATGAAGTTAGACTTTATATTCATTTCCCGACTATTTAGTGAATATTCCGCAATTCTATAAAAAAAAAGTTTAAAGAAATTATAAAGTGATGACACGGAACATTGCAATATTTCGAGGTCGTAAGTGAGGTAGTTGAATACGAATCAATCTGGTATTTGTATTGGAATAAGAAAATTTGGATTAGTTTTCGTGTGTAAGGTAGGCGTGTTACTCGTTTCATGATATGACATGATAGATGAAAAACTATTGACTATAAAATGGTTACCTAACTATTTAAGTTTCAATTTAGTAGAAGTTTTTCAGCGTCTGTTTTTTAATTTTAGAAATCTTAATAAAAACAGCCAAGGCGAGTGATGCAACAAATTGAAATTCAGTAACTGTTACTTGAACTTGTAAATATTGCCAGTCATTGTACGCTACTCTGACAACTGAATCTAATTATGGCTAAGATTGCACAACATTCGGCATCTCAAAATGTATTGGTCTAAAGATTCCGAGTTTGAAACTCCCGTAACCACAGTCGATATTTTAGTCGAGCGAGACCAGAGGCTTAAACAAGCTTAACTTGCCCCCTTGAGTACTTACGACGAATGGCCTCTAAGGAGTTTTAGTACTAACCTAGACAACCGCATTAAACTACCGATATTCACTTGATGAATTTTAATCATCGACTTGCGTCACCAGGCAATTAGGTAGCTTTTTGCTTATTATCATTTGGTTTCGCTCAACGAAAAAAATATGGCAATGATGACAAGTGGCCATACATATGTATTACATGTTAATTTATGACATAAACACGATGTAACTTTGTTTCCGTGTACTTAGTACAACTTCATGTAACTCGAAATTACAGTGTGTAGGTATATTGTACATACGTAACTATGTACAAGTCAACAATGGACATTATTCGTGTACTTTAGTTATGACAGCGCGATAATTAAGAACCACTACATCGTATGGTTACTAACCGTCACCGCTTCCGTTTATTATTGCTACAATGGTAACAAAAAGATTAAAATTAAATATCAAGATTAACGATTCATTATCAAGGAATTATTTACGCTAGCGTAAGTCTCTGGTATTTTAATGATAATAATTTTCATCCACTAGATTAACATGTGAACGAAAACGTCAGTAAACGAAATTCGCCGGCTTATTGGAATAAAATACTGCTTAGGATTTTTTTTGAACTCAAGTGACATTTGTTACGAACTACAGTTCACAGTGTGGGTATAAGTTAATTGTGGTTCATATCAACATTAAACTAATTACAAAACTTTATCACAGAAACTTCAGCGAAAAGATAATAATTAATGACATAATGTGTGTGAGTGTGCACAGTGTGTAAAACCCGCAGTGTTGCCGGCTACGATCGTATCGTACGCGCACCATGAACGTAAATATAAATAAAACTATTTGAAAACACTGGCACTGAACACATGAAAAATAAAAATAAATTTACGAACCACTGAGAGCCGTCACATATTCCCTCCACTTGCGGTTGGCCATTGTCGGTGTTGTGGTGCACTCTCGGAACTAACATTTATGCTCTGTGACAGAGTGGAGCACGCATGGGAGGACACTGAGCGGTGCGTGGTGCGCTGCCGGACTGGGGCGAGCGTGCGGTGTGTAGCATGCCGCGGTCGCTCTAATATTACTCGGCCACGTGTTGTCCGCGTTTCGTCGTAAGCGTGAATGGTTAGCTGAACGTATTGCAGAACAAGACAATATTATTCTCGTTTTGTTGACGGTTTCAGCTGTCAATGTACTGCGTGCAGTCGTCCGCGGCGGGGCGCCTCTGCCGTGCCTGTGTTGCCTACATAGCTTCAGATATTGCTATTTGCTTTATCGTTCGTTGGTGTGCGACCGACCAGACAGATAACGTCATAATGTTCATGCAAAACTTCAGAGCGTTAATTTTTTGTTGTGTTTTTTGTTTACAAAATTATTTCTTTTAAATTATCGTAAAATTTAGAGTTGTACCTACATTTTTAAAATGTAGCCCGATATCACTATATTCTTAGCCGGAACTGAACATGTTTGTTTTATTGGTTATTCATTATCATTATTAAATACCGTTATATTAAATTCTGATAAGAAGCGAATTAAGTTAAATGCCGTGCAAAATCAATGACGCGTGAATGCAGTTGACGTAAGATTACGACATAGTAATTATTAGTGGCAACTTCTAAAAATAGCGTTATCGCCAGGGTTTCTGTGACCGGGAAATGGTAACGCTTGAATATTAATAGCTTGTTATAAAGATGACATAGATATCATAGGTATCACGGGAGTGATGCCTGATATCTACACTTACGTAGGTCCCTATCATGTGGTACAGAACGATCTAGTTTGTAGGCAGAACTCGGCATAACTGCTTATAAATATAAACCGATTGACTCATTCATTAAGACCTCTGTACATTGGACTCACAATAATAATATAATCTAGTCCGGCTTGGTGACAAGCAATGACAACGTTTTAATAAAGCTAACCGGACCCAAGAAATCCTTTTAAAGCCATAGCATTTGTTTAGGGATTCTTTGGCTGAACCTATCTTACTAGTAAAGTAGTCGCTTACACAAACTGCCATGCAAAGGGTCTTGTGTTTGATGCCCAATAAGCAATGTTTTACTGAGACTTTCAGTAATTGCACAGAGTCTGGAATTGTGCTTAGTGTAATGTGCAAGTAGTCTCGCCCTCTATTACATTAAAACATTGAAATAAGCATCCTATTTCTAAATTGGATTAAATTACGATTTTGCTTGGACAAGGTTTGTGACAACACCGGGGAAGATGAGCAAAATCACGAACGGTGCCGGAAAAATCTAGTGGCGCCGGAGCAGCCAATACTAATTTCATAAAATATTAACTAGCTACCTAACCAATATTTTTTTTAAAATACCATTATCCAATTAATCACTCCGTGACTAATTAAATTATCAAGCGTCAAAAGAAATATACGTTTAAAAGATTTTTTTTTTATTGGCGTACCTACTGAAAATATTGTTATTTAAATGCACCCTTCACACTATATTAAATCTGCATCTTTGGTGCAAAAATCTAAATAAAGAATTCTTTGTATCTCGAAAGAATAGTGTTTTAAGTGTATTGTGCCCCATTTCAACCATAAAGAAATTTCTTTGTAAAAGTAATGCAATTATTCGAACATTTTGCAACGCTTCGCGCTCTTTTTGAAACCAAGATGGCGCCTGTAACAAAACGCGGGAAACATTAATTGTAGTTAAATTACTGGTAGTCATCAGCTATTCCGTTGTGTGTTTTACATTTTCTTTTTAATTCGTCGTTCATTAATTGTCGCTTCTGTTCTTTGGGCTCGACTCAATTACTTTTCAATGAATCCATCAAGGAGTCTTTTAATAAGTGTAATATATTTATTTA